GGGGGGGGGGGGGGGGGGTCCTGGCTCTGTGCTTAAAAACACTGCAGCAAACCCAGTTCTGTGTGTCGAGCTAACGTACACTAACAAGTCATCTGCCCCTTCCCTCCTGTGCTGTAAACCTGAGCCTCACTGTCGGGGGAATGTCCCTTTCTGGCCTAAGGAAGGGGTGTGGGGGGGTGTTAATGCTGCCTCGGGTACACACAGGTAATTTATGTGCACAGACAGGACGGAAAACCCTTGAGCCACATCTTTGGTGATGTGAACATTTTGTCACTGTGTGCAAAGAGACACGTGGTGTAATGCAGTCTTCACAGGAGCAAAAGGAGAGACCATCTCCTTAGAAGCCACGAGCAGAGAGCAAATGCTGCAGACTGCATGGAGGAGAGACTGTGGGCCAACATCCACAAGGGACAGGTCCCTTGGGAGCCACGAGCAGAGAGCAAATGCTGCAGACTGCGCACAGGAGCGACTAAGGGCCAACATCCACAAGGGACCGGCACCTCAGGAGTCAAGAGCAGGACAGGAAATGCTAACATCAGGGGGCCAGTCAAACAACCAAAATGGCGTCTCCTACGGGGCGGAGTTGGGGGTCTTACCTGAGGGGACCAGTCCAGACAGGTGACCACACGATGCTTGGACCATTGCTCGTCTGTGAATTGCCTATTGAGAGACAGCTTGGCCCCTGCTTGGATCTCTCTAAAAGGAACAGCAGAGGAGGGTGAGCAAACTGCAGGGCACGGAGGTAATGACCGTACCCCATCAGCCAATGACCATGCCCAATTACACACCTAATCACCCCATTGACCAGGGCCCATCACACACCCAATGACCACGCCCCATCATACACCCAATCGTCCAATGACCACAAACCATCGCATTCACATCCTGTGCAACACTGCTGAGGACCTAAGCTTCCAAAAGTAAAATAATAAATGTTACACTCATACTCAACATCATATCTGTAATATTTTGTTTTGGTTAATAGCTAGACATTTTATTTTATTTGAATAGAATGAGACATTCACCCTCCAGTATAGGGACATGGCGAGCCTGTTCCAGGCAGCACAGGGCAGGGGTCACCCTGGACGGGATGTCAGTCCACTGTCGGGTACAGGGCAGGGGTCACCCTGGACGGGATGTCAGTCCACTGTCGGGTACAGGGCAGGGGACACCCTGGACGGGATGTCAGTCCACTGTCGGGTACAGGGCAGGGGACACCCTGGACGGGATGTCAGTCCACTGTCGGGTACAGGGCAGGGGTCACCCTGGACGGGATGTCAGTCCACTGTCGGGTACAGGGCAGGGGACACCCTGGACGGGATGTCAGTCCCCTGTCGGGTACAGGGCAGGGGACACCCTGGACGGGATGTCAGTCCCCTGTCG